CAACTATCTTTTTAGGCATTTTATTATATATATTAATGATGACGAAGCCATGTTCACTAAATCAAATCTGTACATCGACACAAAATTTCATTTTTATAATATTCTGAACTATGAACCATTTGCAAAATTACATTATGTAATTTACTTATCAGAAATTTTTACCAAAGGTCTAAGCATTGTAAAAATGTATAATCATGACGTCAACTACTTTTGCCAACATTATAAATTCAAATTCAGTCAAGTACCCCACATTAGTATTGTTTATTTCAACGTCTAGTAAAGCAGCAGAACCAAATTTTATACTACAAATTCAAAATAAAAAGGAAAAATGGTATCTATAAAAGTAATTTTAACTTTATGCATTGTATCTACAGCAATAATTCAGGTAAACAATTTTTAATAAGTATACCATTCTTATTCATCTTGGATTTTTCGTGATAATAACAGTTAATAAACTAAATCAATTTTAATATTTGTCTATTCTTTCGTAGGTTTACAGTAAACCAGCTGAACCACAATCAGACTTACTCAATCAATTAGAAAAATCCTTCAAAGATTTAAACAACAAAATTAAAGATGCTATGAATTCTGAAAGTGTAGACATGTATAAAAAGAAGTTAAACGGTTATCTAGACGAGTTGAACAATAATTTAAAATCTTATTCAAAATCGGTGAGTACAGTTTACAAATTATATTGAATATTTAGTCGAATAATTCACGAGGTTATACTTGTTTTTACCAGTTCGAAAATTCTGAATTTGGAAAACAAGCAAATAAGCAATTTTCATCGGCAGTGGAAATTTACAACCGTAACGCTCCAGCAGATTTTTCATCTCAAAAAGTGAACGAAAAGCTTGAAAGTGCCTGGAAATCTACAATCGAATGGTTTAGAAAGATGACTAATTAAGAGAATATTTATAAAACAAACTTTACTTTGAGGTAATGACATTTAACAAATTATTGTTCGTGTAATGACTAATTAGCTATGGTCAGCCAATATTTTTGAAATTAATGTTGTTTTGAAATTTTTTAGATTAATTATGTAAAAGACCTAAAATTAAAACCAAATGAAGCTGAGAATGGATATAAATTAAAATCATCTTACATTAATTCAGGCAATATGACATTTAACTTCATAATATGTGAACTACGATGAACATGTTTAACTATTTATTATTTAGATATAAATAAAAATAAATTGATTGATTTAATTAATTTAGTTATTGTATTGAAAATTTAAAATTTTTGGTAATATATACATTTAATTTATTAAATAATACCTCATAATTTTCAAATAGTGTGATTTAAACTAAGTTTTTCATTTATTTTTATTTTTATATATATTTTTATTTTTAAATATATATATATATATATATATATATAATACTTTATTTAAAATTATACAAAGTATTACGAATAAAGTTTGTTCTCAAAATTTACACCAGTTTAATTAATAGTGAGAACAAATGAAAATGTACTCATGAAAAATCGAGTTTCTTAGTTTAAATACATTTGATAATTATAAACTTAATGAATCATCTGAATATAACCTAAAGGGCTTAAACACAAATATAAATATATAGTTCAATTTAGTTTAATCGAAACATTGATATCTCAAATTTTTTCTCCGGACTTTAGAGTTGTCTACTTAAATAATTAGTGTTTAATTTGATAAATTTCACGGATAAGTCGAAATTCCGATAACACTGTTTATCACTTATTGTAAAAAAAAACGCATTTTTTAATATTGAACTTATGAAAAATATGCTAATATATAGATATTAAAATATTAGTAGATAAAAAAAAAAACTATCCAATTCGCCAAAGTTTTCAATGTTTTTGTGGTAATGGAAAAGGTTTATTTTAAATTATTTATTATAGAATAAAAAAATTATAAGATGGAACTACAANTGGTAATGGAAAAGGTTTATTTTAAATTATTTATTATAGAATAAAAAAATTATAAGACGGAACTACAAATAAAAAATCAAATTTTTTTTTGTTTAATATATATTAGAATAATATCCTAGTTAACAGTTGTTCTACATTACAATACTTTAATAAATAAATTTAATATCAAAGGCTATTCTGGAAATATTTTTTGGGAGGAGGTGGAGTGAATTTTACTAGTTAAAATACTTAAATTAAAAAAAAATCTTAAATACTCAAAAAAATAATCTTTCTTAATTTAATTTTTAATATAAAACTCAAAATTATAAAAAATCAATATTGGGAAAACTGACGAAATAATTTTTTCAAGGAAATACATTTTACGCTCATTAATAATATAAAAAGAGTCTTTAAAATATATTATTCATTTGTTAAAAAGAAGGTTATTAATGTAAAATTTTAAGTGTGGTGAATTAAAAATTTTGCTCGCTTTAAAATAAAAAAAATGATATCATTATTACATGGCAGATAGCATTTTTTTACACATGTCATACTAATAAAAAACAAATATGAGAGAGTATTCTAAATAAATCATTTTGTATATTTATAGAATATGTGTACATGTATAACTATAAAAAATATAAATTTTGATAACATTACATATCTGAGAACTTTTAAAAAACCTTAGATACCTTAAAATTTGCTGAAAAAGTTCATTTTTATTGACATAAAATAGTTGTGATAGGAATTATCACCCCTAGATTTTTACTTTTTGTAATTTTATATTATTAAGTCAGAAGATGTCAATTACAATTTCTTTTTGGTGTTGCAACACTTATAATTTTTATAATATAATATTTCACACATAACTTTCATAAGTAATTTTTACGGCACAGTATAAATTATTTTAAAGCAATAATTATTCTAAGTTAATTCTGGGTTGACAATAGCTCATCGAATTTTTAATTTTGAAACCTAATAATTATATGTATGAATGAATATACATTCACAGAGTTACTAGACAAATTTATAAAACTCACGTACTTGAATATTGGTTAACAAAAAAAGACAAAATGTCACATGCAACATTATAAATCTAAAATTAATTTTAACAAATATGTTATTTATAATATTATAGGTAGAAATATTACTTTAACATAAATTATATTTTACAAAATCTTAAAAGCGTTTAAAAAGCTATTGCAATAAATAAATAAAATAAATATTGTATCCCAATAACAATAAATTATTTAGTAATTCTAGTTTTTAATAAGGAAAAATAAATATAATAATGAATCTATCTTTTGTTAGCATTTAAATAATAGAATTTACATGTGTTTTTTCAACTAGTTATTATACAGGGTGTTCAGTAAGTAAGGAAAATGGTTTCTATTGTTGTTATTGTTTGTAACAATTGAACTGTTTTACTAAAATAAATGTCCAACTAACTAAGAAGAAAAAAATAATTTCAAAAAAATATTGTGAAATAAAAAACAACTAAAACTTAGCAATTCAAATTAAACTTTTTTTTAATTAAGTTTATAATTTAATTGAAATTGATGTTATATCCTATCGTAATAAGTAAAGCTCATAACTTCTAGCCTTTGTTTATTTTTCCAAAAGGTTTTAGAGATATCCATGAAAGTTATTAATTTGTTTTAGAAAATCAATAAGTTTAATAAAAAGTCTTATTTGCATATTTTCATAGTTTAAGAGATATTTCGATTATTTCTGTTTATAATATCATTTAAGCACCGTAATAGAGTAAAATATCAAGAAGGTGAAAATATTTACAATTTTTTTTTTACAAATATTGTAACAAAAAAAGTTTTACGACTAAAACACATATTTATTAACAATTAAACAATTAATATATGTGATTATATGTACTTCTAGCTCATATTAAAAGACTTCATTCGATCATAGAATTATACAAAATTTAAAGAAGCCATAGAAATCAATTTGTACATTTCAGTTAAATATTAAACTAAAATTGCGATCATTTTCATAAAATAAAAGCTTTTTTTTTTTATATTTTTTAGTTTCTTTTTAGTTAAAAGCACTAAACAAAATATTTTCATATACGTAAATAACACCTTTTAGTGAGCCTTGATAATATGATTATCTTTAATTATTTTTAATTACAAATTTTTTTTCAATTAAAAATTTATATTAGGTATAATGTTTTGTTAATTAATATAAACAGGGTTATTTAGTTATATGAAATATATACGGTAGATTCCTTTCACATAGTGTACTTATCTTATACATCATGTACGAGTTATATTTTGTGGCAATTGCTGATAACGGATTTTGTATTACTAAGTCTGAAATTACTGTTTTTTTTACAGTTTATAGATTTTTTTTACTCAAAACTTCAAATAACTTTAATGTTATAACACTTATTATACAAGATGTTGAGTAAGTAGGGAAACAGATCAATTGTTACAAATAATGGGAACAATAGAAACCTGTTTCCATATTTAATAAACATTAAAGAATATTCTCTCCAATGGAAACTTATTTTGTTCTTTTTATTATTTTACGTGTTACTATTCTATTGCACCTCGTACTATCTTTCGTCTCCTACGAAGATCCCAGGACATTAGATAAGCTAATTAGGCACGACAAAATCCATCTCTCACATACATAATTCATTTTTTATCTAACAATATTAATTTTAATTTAAATGGGCAAAATAAGAATTAACTAATTAACCAACTAAACATTACTTCATAATTTTTCTCAAGTAATTTTTAAAAAAGGGTAAAAAGGAGACGTGGTTTAAAATATTTTTGTCATAACGCATTTTTCAACTAAGCTCCTTTTCCCATCTAATTTAAAAAATATTTATTATAATATAATACATATGATATTCTATTTAAAAACTAAATGTTTAATCTTGGCTATCTTTTCAGTTATTAAATTTGTGAATAGAATTTAATCACATACAATAGTTGGAAATTTGCATTTTTTTATGTGACCTAGGAATCTCAAAGAAATTCACTCTAAACACATCACTAAAATTTTTAACGAAGTTCTAAGCATTATAAAAAATCATAAACATGACGTCAACTACTTCTACAATCATTATAAATTCATACTCAATGTAGAATTATACACCAGTATCGTTTATTTCAGTCTCTTGTAAAGAAGCAGAGCTATATCTTTTCTTACGATTAAAAATTATTTGTATCGACTAACAGCAAAATGGTATCTACAAAAGTAATTTTTACTTTGTGTATTGTAACCGTAACAATACTTCAGGTGAAAACACTTAATACATATTATATTTTGAATGTGTTATTGAATATATTTTATATTTTAAAATAAAATATTTTTTTTTATCATTTTAGTAGTGTATAATTCAATAAAGTATTAACATTTTCATTTTCTTTGTAGATTTACGGTAAGCCAGCCGTACTTCCATCAAACTTAATTAACCAGGTTGAAAATTCATTCAAAAATTTTAACATTAAAGTTAAAGATGTCATGAATTCAGACAAAGTTGATATGGTTAAAAAAAAGTTAAACACTTACACTAACGAATTGAACAATAACATCAAATCCTTTTCAAAAACTGTGAATATATTCGACAAATTATATTTATTTTCCGTTTAGACATTTTCAAATTAATAACTTTTACTCTTTTTTATAAGATCGAAAATTCTGAACTTGGCAAACAGGCAAATAAGCAATTGACATCAGCAATAGAAATTTACAACCATAACGTTCCAGCTACTTTATCAACACAAAAAGTGAACGAAAGGCTTGAAAATACGTGGAAATCTGCAAATGAATTTTTTAAGAAAGTTTAATTGATTTGATAATTATAGATTTTGTATTGCTAAAGTAATAATAATAGTAATATATATTATTCTAAGCACAGTTAGGTTCTTTATTAATGCCGCATATAGTACCAACTAAAGTTTTTAACTCTTTATAATTTATATATTGAAATAGTAGTTCCAAGAATATAACTTTTTTTCAATCTTTTCTGAGACACATAAACTCAATATCCTCCTATAATTGAGATTATTGATATTATTAAACATTGATGAGAAAAAAATATTTTATGACATTTAATTATAAAAATATTCTATTCATCATGTTCAGTTTCAAAACAAATTCTCTCTAAAATTAGCTATGGATTCATGATTTTTAAAAACTAAGATAAAAAATATTATATGAATTAATTTTATTTTGAATATTTTTTAGAACAATAACATAGTTGAACAAAAATGAAATTAAAAGAAACTGGAAATAAATTTTTAATGGCATCATTTTTAATTATAATGAAAATTAAATATTTGATTAAATTATATATATAGCATGTTAAATATTACTTCATTAATTAGAAATATTATTTAATTGATTATAAAATATTAAATCTTATATTATTGTATTATTTTAGTAATAATTATATTAACGTAATTTTGCAACAAAATGTGTTAAAATTTTTACTCCACAAAAAACTATTTAGTATTTTTCGGAGTATTATGGTATTTTAAAATGTATATCATTATAATTAACGCTTTTAACTTGCAACTTGATATATCATTTTAAAATTTTTTTTTTTAGCATTAACTATACACTTAAATAAAGTATATAATTGTATAGTTATTTTAGCAAAAGTTTTCTATCTATAAAAAAATTATCATAGTGTTAGTTACTTACCTAGATAGTAAATTTATATTCAGAAAAGATTTTTATTGAATCATCTTGAAATTTGAGTTATAACTCCATTTTGATTAAAAAATAAATACAATTTTTATACAAAAACCTTTGCTATCACTTGACTAATTTAAGTCGACAGCTAGGGATATGTTTTATTATTTTTTTGTAAACTAACTATAGTTGACAACAATGAGTGTTGCGTTATTAAAGACTAAAACACAAACTATAAAATGCATTTATGTATGTATGTCACATATTTGAGTATACAAGATCGCCAAAAATGGTCCTCTTATTTAAAGTACAAAATAACCAGTTAATTATGGAATAAAATCTACTTATATTAGAGATTATTAAGTAACGCTTACACGCAGAACCCTCTTTCTAATTAACAAAATAGAATAGAAAGCCTCAGCTTCCATGATCAGAATAGAGATTCAATTCAAAAACACTTAATCATTTTTTTCTATTAATTTGGACGTAGAATATTTTTTCTTTAAAACTAAAAAACACTTAGAGATTTTAAAGTGAATTTTGTTTTGGTGAATCTTTTAATTTAATTTAATTTGTTCATTAAATTGTTTTTTATTTTTCTCATTGTGGAAATAAATATCAAATAATATTTTAAAAATTAAATCTTTTTTTTAATTATTTTATTTTAATAATAAATCCAACCCAACTTTAAATTTTTATTTAATAGTAAAAATTTATTGTAAGCTTTTCATATTGGGTAGCTAGTCTATGAGCTTAATGTTTTTGTTCTAACGAACATTGTGCCGACGGACAGCACAAAGAAACTTACAAATATATTTTTAGTGTTTAATTTTTGTCTTGGTGATTAATGTGCCGCATCCTTTCAAGGCGCTAGCGGCGAGACACATTGGGCCAGCACAATACCGAATTGATAAATTTTTCACATAGATTTAAATATTTTTGAAACTTGTTTAGGCTAGACCAGAGGAAATTAAATCGTATTATTTAAAATTTGAATCGTTTTTGTAAGTAATTATATTGACTATATGACGTGAGTGTGAATAGTATACGTAGTGTAATTAACATCAGAAACAACGTTGGATTGCTTAAAATATTATTGCATTACATAAGACTTAAGGTAACTACAATTTAAACTATGCTTTCGAACCTCCAACAATTTATTGCATAATAAATCATTAATAAAATCAATAAAAATTAAATAAGAGGATTAATAAATTAATAAAGAAATTATTTGAATCTAAAAAAATGTTATAAATTTAAATATTATTTTCCATTTCAAATTACCTTATTTTATTCCCAATATCTTATATTATATTATATTTTTTTTTTGGATTTAATGCAATGTATCAAAATATTTAAATATTTTTAAAATATAACCTCCAATAATCTATTGCATAATAAATCACTAATAAAATTAATAAAAAAATTTAATGTTGCAAATATTCCATTACCTACCATTTGCTTAAATTCTTTTATTTTTTTCATTTATTTAATAAATAAAATTATATTAATACTAAAAAAAAATATTATAATATTCCACTACCCGACCCATCTTTTTTATAATATTATTTTTATTATTATTTTATTTTTGGTTTATTACAAGTGACGCCCAACTAGTAGCTTTGAAACCCCTGAGATTATAATTTTTATCACGATTTATTAATGATGTATACTTTATTCTTATTTAATAAAAAAATTTTAACCTTTATATATTTTAACTTTTTATATTCTCGACACACTGAATTTGTCTATTATTTTAAGAATCTTAGTTTAATAAAAGTCATTTTTTTGAATAATTTATAGTTATATCTCTATAAAATAAATATTCAAAATATAACGCATAATTTATAATTAAACTTTATTTGAAGTAACCTTCGTTAATTTTTATCTCAGATTTTTCTGCTATTCTTATAACTTTCTTGATTTCACAAATTTTTCATTTTTATAAAAACTCCTTTTCAATTATAATATTAATATTATTTATATATTTTATAATAAATTTTATTTTTTACAATTTTTTTTTTTTGCAAAATTTTTTTAAAGTACTATTTTAAAAAAAAAAATAGGTCAACGTATGAGTTTTTGAGGGTCATTCGATTCCTTAAATTAACACACATGCCTATCTTGACAGATATTGTATAAAAATAAATAATTATACAATTTATTGAATTATAATTTATCTACCAATTATCACAAAGTATGTTTGGACTAAAGATACTAAGTGGTAAATTACTTAACCGGTCACCAAGCCTTTTTTTTTTTAACCCTTAGTCCACTCCAAACGCAGACCATCCTGTTAGTGTGTAATGAATTTTAATAGTCACTGGTGGTGAGAGAGGTTGCCTGTGTAAAATCAGTGATATATGTGATGATGTGAAGTATGTAATCAGTTTCTACAATCTTTCAATAAAACAGTAGGATAAGTTTAGTTCTTTTAACTCATCAACAAAATAAATAATTAATAACAGATGTTAAACGTTTTAATAAGCCCATTATTGGTTCAACAATAATAAATAAATATCTGTACAAAATATAACTTCTAAAGATAACAATAACAAAAATAAAATATTTAATTATCAACAAATGAACTCCAATAATATATCTTAAAAACTAAAATAATTACTCAAAATATACTTTAATAGATCAACGTTTTGTACTGATTTTAAATCTGGAACTAGAATTTTTCCGTCAACTCTATTTTTTGAAACTATGATTAATTAGTAAAAAAAAGGTTTAACATATAATACAATATAGTTAAAAATGAATTTCAACAACACATTAGCAGACGAATTCATACATGAAACCTAAACATGGAATATTTATGAATATCAGTATGTATACAATAGGATATAACTATACGGAATATAGTTTTGAAAATCTCAATTGTAGCATTTATTTAAACATCAGAAGTTGCATAAAAATTTTTATTATGGTTTTTCTTATTATGATTTATTTCAATATTAATACAAAAAATAGCAATTTAATGAAAATTTGAACTTTTCCTATACATTTAATGTCAATAGTAATTATATAAGTTTCTGATTACATGACAATCTAAACATTACAATATTTTAAATCATCATAAAATTTTCTAATTAGTGATATCAATTTCAAACTTGCAACTTGGACTAAAAAAAGTTTAAAATTTCACCATTTTTTAATTATAAAAATCAACTTAAAAGGACTAAAAAAGTAGGTTAAACATCACAAATATTTGATTTTTGTTTATTTATTGTCAATGAATTTCACAAGGAAATGAATTTGATAGATCATAATATAATGCATCAATATAATGTCATCATATAATGATTATATGATGACGAGTTTTCTGGCTATATAAGTGCATTAATTATACACTTCAAATCTTTGAGTTTTCAACGATCTCATATTAGCACTCTTCAATCATCAAATATTCGGTACTCCTACATTAAGTGAATGCAATTACGATACATTGTCATAAATATTTTGAAACAATAATTTTGGTAAAACATACATATACTATGTTTTTCTAGTAACTGGGTGTTTGAAATATCAATGACATTACTGATATCGTTCTCATTAATTAATTTACCTGTTGAAATTTCAAATGAACCAATTTTCAAACTTGATTTCATTATTCAGAACCATATAAGTTGTCGCAAATTTTAGGTTGAATTTTATTGGTTCATTAATCGTATCGCCTTTACCAGTTTACATTTAACTATATTATCATTATTACAATAAAAACATCGTTTAACACTTATCATACTCTGACCTGTTTCACTACTTAATAACTATTTAATTAACAAAAATTATTATTGTAATACTCACAGTGTATCTTTTGAACGTAGCGTACAAGTTTTGATAGATTTGTAGATTAGTCGTAGATTTGTCCAAAAAAGTAGATAAATGACATAAAAATCATATACCTACATAGATTTTTCTATGACTTACTAGGTAGCTTTTAACAACATTCTCTTTTCATACAAATCACAATAAAACACATTTGAAACGTTTAAATCACATAGCGCTATTGCTTTTATAAGAGCAATAATCATCCTTTTATGCAAAAAATGCTCATTTAATGAGACATAATCGATTGAAAGCTAAGTAATCACAGTACACATATCCTCACCATATATTAGTTCTTTACTTTAACAATTTATCATTTTTATATTATATTTAATAATTAAATAATTTTCCATGGTATATGCACTCGTTATTATAGCGAAAATATCACTGGACTCCTTCTAATAGATAAAGTTTTAACATCCCTTCCACGTTAAAGAAACTATAACGTACTAGTACTAGCTATATGAAGAATGGTACCAGCCTTTCACTTGGTTTAAAATTGGAAAAATAGTTTCTTGATGGTTAATATTTAAAAACATATTATAAAATTAGGCATCCATTAAAAATGATATTTTCAAATATTTTTTTCTACAATTAATACAGCCACACTAAATAATTAATTATGATAGATTTTTTTCAAAATAATGTTTTATAGAAGCAGTATTATGATATTAATATTTTATAATGAAGTTTAAAAAGAAAAAAGACCTATGATTTATAAATCATTTGCACCTAAAATGTTTTGAACTTGAGAGTGCCTAAGTTAAGATCATTTATTTCATGTGGATGTCAAAAGAGCAGATTGCAAAAAATAACCAAAAAATTTATAGAAAAAAGTTCATATAATATATGGTCATTAAATCAGTATTAAAAAAAGCATATGAAGCAATTAAATTGTCCAAAAAAAAAAAAATACCATTCATGATTAATATAATTTATTTAAAATATAATATAGCCCACTTTACTAATACACTAATAACTAATACACAAGTAAAAATATATAAGTGTATAAAATAACCCATATACATAAATGAATATAAGGTTAAAAAATCTAAATTACAAAAAACTAACTTTGACAGCCATTTTCTAAAGCATAGTTCAATATATGCATATATTCATTTCGAATAGCTTCTTCAATAGTATATTTACTCCACGGACATTTATTTTCATAGGCGTATTTTAAGCAATAAAGTTGACCATATATAGCACAAATCCTAGTTGTACCTTCGTCCCACTCACATCCATTTTCATGAGCATATTTTAAGCAGTTGAAATTACCTTTTGCAGCAGCTCCACTTTGGGTCCCTTCATCCCATTTATAACCATTTTCATGTGCATATATCAAGCAGTTAATGCAACCACTAGCAGCAGCTTCTCTTGTTGTGCCTTCGTCCCATTCACAACCATTTTCACATGCATACTTTAGACAGTCTGAATGTCCATTTGCAGCAGCCACTCTCGTTGTTCCTTTAACCCACTCACAACCATGTTCATGGGCATATTTTAAACAATCTAAATTACCAAACATAGCAGCTGTGATTATTGTAAATTCATCCCAAATACACCCATTTTCATGAGCATATCTTAAGCAATCTAAACAGCCGCTTGCTGCAGCAACTCTTGTTGTACGCTGATCCCAAACACATCCATTTTCGATGGAATAAGATAAACACTCATAACATCCACTTCCTGCAGCAGCTATAGTTGTTCTTTTATCCCATTTGCAATCATTTTCGTGTGCATATTTTAAACATTCTAAACTACAATTTTGTGCTGCTGCTTCAGTTGTGTTTACATCCCATGGACATCCATTTTCGTGGGCATATTTTAAACATTCTAAATGTCCATTTGCAGCAGCAGCTATTGATGTATTTTCATCCCATGGACATCCATTTTCGTGGGCATATTTTAAACAATCTAAATTACCCTCTAAAGCTGCAGATCTAGTTGTCTCAACATTCCAAGGGCATCCATTTTCATGTGCATATTTTAAATATTCTAATTGTCCTTTCGTAGCAAATATCTTTGTTGTATCTTCATACCAAGGACATCCATTTTCATGAGCATACTTCAAACATAAAATATTACCTTCTGAAGCAGCAGCACTAATTGTGCGGTCATCCCATGGGCATCCATTTTCGTGCGCATATTTTAAACATTCAAAATTACCTCCTTTAGCAGCCTCCATCGTTGTATTTTCATTCCAATCACATCCATTTTCGTGAGCATATTTCAAACAACTTAAATGTCCATTTACAGATGCAATATATGTTATATCTTCATTCCATGGACATCCATTTTCATGTGCATACTTCAAACATTTTAATTGGCCATTTTCAGCTGCAACATATGCTGTTTTAACATCCCATGGACATCCATTTTCATGTGCATATTTTAAGCATCTCAAGTTACCATATTCAGCAGCTGCTTCTGTTGTTGTTTTATCCCATGGACATTCATTTTCATGAGCATACATTAAGCAGTCTATACAGCCACTTGCTGCAGCAGCTCTAGCCGTAAACTTATCCCATTTACCACCATTCTTGTGAACATATTTTAAACAATTAAAATAACCATTTCCTGCAGCAGCTCTAAGTGTACCATCATCCCATTCATATCCATTTTCATGAGCATATATTAAAATTTTTAAATTACCTTTATTAGCTGCTTCAATTGTCGTTCCTTTATCCCATTCACAACCATTTTTGTGGGCATATATTAAACAATCTGAATAACTATTTATAGCAGCAACTAATATTGTGCCATCAATCCAAGGACAATCATTTTCATGTGCATATTTTAAACATTCCAAATGACCATTCGCAGCTGCAACCATTGTTGTATATTTATGCCATTTACATCCATTTTCATAAGCATATTTTAAACATTCCAAATAACCATTTGATGCAGCAACTCTTATTATATCTTCATTCCATTTACATCCATTTACATTAGCATATTTTAAGATTTCTAATTTATCATTATATACAGCTGCTCTCGTTGTAGTTTCATCCCATGGACAACCATTTTCATAAGCATATTTTAAACATTCTAAATGACCATTTTCTGCAATAACTCTTGTTGTATTTTCATCCCATGGACATCCATTCTCATGAGCATATTTTAAGCATTCTAAATAACCATTTGCCGCAGAAATTGTTATAGTATCTTCATCAAAATCATATCCATTTTCGTGTCCAAATTTTAAATATTCCAAATTGTTATTTTCAACTGCATAATTCATTATTGTTTTATCCCATTCGCATCCATTTATATGAGCATATTTTAAACAATCAAAATGTCCATTATAAGCTGCAGCTCTCGTTGTTTTGTAATCCCATTGACAATTATTTTCATGTGCATATTTTAAACATTCTAAGTGTCCATTTGTAGCAGCGACCATTGTTGTGTCTGTATGCCAATTACATCCATTTTCGTGTGCATATTTTAAGATTTCTAAATGACTCTTTTCCGCAGCATTCTTTGTTGTTTCATCATCCCATTTACATCCATTTACAATAGCATAAATTAAGCACTCCATATTATCCCAATATACTGCTGCATATGTGGTAGTTTCATCCCATGGACAACCATTTTCATGTGCATATATTAAACATTCTAAATGCCCATTTGCAGCAGCAACTCTTGTTGTACTTTCATCCCATGGACATCCATTTTCGTGTGCATATTTTAAACATTCTATAGAATTTTTAACTGTAGCTCTCCTTGGTGTATATTCATCCCATTCGCATCCATTTTCATGTGCATATTTTAAACATTCTAAATGACCATTTTCAGCAGCAGCCCTTGTTGTTTCATCATTCCATGGACAGCCATTTTCATGCGCATATTTTAAGCATTCTAAATGCCCATTTGCAGCCCCATCTTTTGTTGTATCTGTATACCATGGACTGCCATTTTTATGAGCATATTTTAAGCATTCTAAATGCCCATTGGAAGCAGCGGCTCTTGTTGTATCATCATGCCATGGACATCCATTTTTGTGAGCATATTTTAAGCATTCTAAATGTCCATTGTCAGCAGCGGCTCTCGTTGTTTTGTCATCCCATGGACAATTATTTTCATGTGCATATTTTAAACATTCTAAATGTCCATTTTCAGCAGCAGCTCTCGTTGTTTTGTGATCCCATTGACAATTATTTTCATGTGCATATTTTAAGCATTCTAAATGTCCATTGTCAGCAGCAGCTATCGTTGTTTTGTCATCCCATGGACATTTATTTTCATGTGCATATTTTAAACATTCTAAATGCCCATTTTCAGCAGCAGCCCTTGTTGTTTCATCATTCCATGGACAGCCATTTTCATGCGCATATTTTAAGCATTCTAAATGCCCATTTGCAGCCCCATCTTTTGTTGTATCTGTATACCATGGACTGCCATTTTTATGAGCATATTTTAAGCATTCTAAATGCCCATTGGAAGCAGCGGCTCTTGTTGTATCATCATGCCATGGACATCCATTTTTGTGAGCATATTTTAAGCATTCTAAATGTCCATTTTCAGCAGCAGCTCTCGTTGTTTTGTGATCCCATTGACAATTATTTTCATGTGCATATTTTAAGCATTCTAAATGTCCATTGTCAGCAGCAGCTATCGTTATTTTGTCATCCCATGGACATTTATTTTCATGTGCATATTTTAAACATTCTAAATGCCCATTAGCAGCAGCAAATCTTATAGTATTTTCATCCCATGGACATCCATTTTCGTGTGCATATTTTAAGCATGTCAAGTTACCATATTCAGCAGCTGCTTCTGTAGTTTTATTATCCCATGGACATTTATTTTCATGAGCATATATTAAGCATTCTAAACAACCACTTACTGCAGCAGCTTTAGTTGTTGTCTCATCCCATTGGCAACCATGTTCATGGGCATACTTTAAAATATCCAAAAAGCCTTTTGCTGCAGCAGCTCTAATTGTACCATCATCCCATTCATATCCATTTTCATGAGCATATTTTAATATGTTTAAATTGCCTTTATTAGCTGCTTCAATTGTTGTTCCTAGATCCCATTTACATCCATTTTTATGTGCATATATTAAACAGTCTAATTTATCATTTATAGCAGCAGCCAATATTGTGCCTTCACTCCAAGGGCATTCATTTTCATGAGCATATTTTAAGCATTCTAAATGCCCATTTGCAGCAGCAATTCTTGTTGTATCTACATCCCAATCACATCCATTTGCCTGTGCATATTTTAAATATTTTAAATGCCTAATTTCAGTAGCTTCTGTAATCGTATGTTTATCCCACTTACATTTATTGCCGTGAACGAAATATAGTGGTTCTAAGTTATCATTTGAAAGTTCTAAAACTGTAGTTTTATTTTCATATTGGCATATTTTTTTTTCATCTGAATTTCTATTTTCATTTGCTAAATGAAAGTAATAATTAATTAGTTTTTGCTACTTAAAATGTCAATCTATAATACCAATATAATAAAGAAGAGCAATAAGTTTTATAACAATTTTCATTTCTATAATTTCTAAAAAATTTTGACTTGTGGAGTTGTTTGAGATTTTATTTTATGATTAAGTGTTCCTGGCTCATGATACAATCATTTAATAGTTTCCCTACTTTTGGATACTCAAACTACGGAATTTGTTATAATTTTAGTCCTTATATATCTAAACATCGCGCTTTACAAAAGATACATAAACTATGAGTTATATGAGATTTATTGTGTCGATTATAAATGCTCAAAATTACAATTTGTCTAAACTCTTAGCATTTCCCACTAAATTTATTGCCAAAATGTAAACTTTAATAGTTATTTATTAATTGATAGCTTTTCAGGTGCTATCTTAAGCATATGATTTGCTAAGTGGAATAATGATGCATGATAAATGTATTCGTAAAATATTATAAAAATACTTTATTCAATATAGGTTAATATTTTTCATTGTAGAATGATTGAAAAAAACGCTCGTACTCTAAACTCGAGCAAAAAATTGTATTGAATCATTTTATTTAATAACTGCGTTGTAGTAACACAATCATTCTCATGCCCAACCATCAAGCCCAATATTAATTATATTTATTTTGAGTTACTATATTATCAATTTGCAATAAGCAATTGCAATAAATATTTCATAGTGTATAATATAGTAATAATACTTCCTACGTTATTGGTACACTTGTTAAGGCATTCATTAATATTGTGCTATATCATAATGGTGCGTACTGCGACACTTACTATTACAATACTAATACATTGATAAAATTCAGAATACCGGAAAATAAATGTCAACAAAATTTAACAGCTGTTATCACAACTGTCTATTTTTTTTTTTTATTACACTTTAAATTACTAAAATTATCCAGCATTACGTCGTAATTTACCAACTCCAAGAACTCCACAATATATATATTTTTTGTAACGCGAATATTAAATTGATCTAAGTATTACAAATAAGATGACTTTAAAAAATATGTAAATTTACACGTATTCAGTTGGTAAATTTTGCCTCGTGTTTCGTGAACCCATAGTTATTTTGTAATTTTTAGATTTAGGAAATATATGCAACATTATAATTAATAGATAGTAGATTTATACTGCCAAATACTTTAATTTAACATTGCAACAATTATATTAATTGTAACACTATAAAGTATTATGTTATGAATATTTTAATGAACAATGTAAATATAAAATGGGACTTGACCATCTTCTGTGATCAATGTTCAATCAGTTACTGTTACATTATAATTAGTGATCATGTTTACTATTCCTGACAACACTTATCCGTTTGATCGAACTTGTATTATACATTACCACTACGCTATTAGCTTCGATGCGAAGCCGAGATGGTATTAATTTTACTATGATGTGTTTTTTTTTTTATTTNATGCGAAGCCGAGATGGTATTAATTTTACTATGATGTTTTTTTTTTTTTTTTTTTTTTTTTTTTTTTGTGACTGTTACCATGTTTTCTCAGCTCTCACCGAACGGATTTCTTTCAACGATACGTGAAAAGATCACAAATCGTATCTAGTCGAAAACTTTACCCTCAAAAATTGAAAAAATTTTCCTCGTTCCCTGTAAATGGGCGAAATCTTCAAAAAAATTACAAAATTAAAAACTGCTAATTTTCGAAATTTTTTCAATATTTTTTTACTTAAAACTGCCATAACTTTTTCAATAATGATTATATCTATAATATTTTTATTTATAGACGTATAATGTCTTTACCTATCATTTGATATATTTTTTTTATAAATTTATAAACCTGCCCACAGATAGAGATTCAAGATGACAACTTTTTCAACTTAACTTTTTAAAGTGTCCGGAAATACTGACAATTTTAAATAAACCTTAAATTAAGGCTTATGTAATATACTTTATTATGAAAAAAAAAAAATTTCGGACTTTATTTTTTCTTCACGGTGAAAATGGCTACCGTATGCTATATTTGTGTTAAAATGTTATAACTTATTGAAAAATGTATGGATAAATACAAATTTTAATATTAAATAATATTTATATCCCTCATTCATCTGACATACTTTTCTTTTAAATAACACCATTTCCCTTTTTATATTTATATATTATAAATATATATAGATATTTATTTATTAATATATTATACTTATAAATCATAAAACTTGTAATCAGGATATAAATAAGGAAATAGGAGATCATGTAGCTTTTGGAATAATCCATCAATTTTTTAAAATTAAATATTATCTACAGATTTGCATCGCAGCGTTTTTCATGATAGTGATATTAATCACTGTCTGATATCATTATACTTGACCTAACTATGCGACAACTCCACTGTGCAGGGTTTTTTTTAGGCATCTTTGCACCACTTCCGTCTCACTTAGTTTTTAAGATAGTGTCTACACAGAAAAAATGAAAAGTTAATATAGTGATAACTCTAATAAAAACTGTTGGAATAATTAAATGAATGGCTAGGGTTAACCAAGTTCTGAGTTATTTTAACTGTCTTAATTCTAGTTGCATTATTTTCTGTATATGCATAGCGGCATTTAAACAACTCCAACGAATTTGTGTATTTCTTTTTATGCTTATTTTTATTAAAAATAGTATTGAGTTCAGCCTAATTTTGTTCTATTCTTTTTATTTCAAATAATCGTTAGTTACACGGTGGAATTTTTGATTATTTAAAATCAGTTTCTTTTAGTAAAATATCAAAAAGCCAATGTTGATTATCTTATCAAATAACAAATTATTTAAAAAAAATCGTATTTACTCGTGATTGGTAAATACCAAAGAGATCTGTTATCTTGTATTTACTTAGATAATTTAATTTTTTGAAATTTTTAGTTAAATTATAAGCGCTTATATAAACGTAGATAATTGTTATGGGAAAAAATACATATATATAACCATGAGCTATCGTGAAAAGATTATGTTTTCTTTTGTCTTTTTTTTAGTAGATATTTTAAAATTAATATCGTAAAAATTCTATTTAAACATAAAATATTCATACATTTTAAAATGCCACAGAAAATTTTACTGCTAAAAATTAATAAGACATTTTTTTGCCAAATTTATTCTTAAATTTTACTTTATAAAATGGCTATATTAAAATATTTTTTCGTAATCTTTATAAAAAAAAATATTTTTTTAACAAATTGAAAAATTTTTATTTATTATAATATTTTAATAATTCCAAAGTAAAAAATTAACACAAAATATTAATTAGATTAAATGTTCTTAGTATTGTCAGAACATGATGGATCATTATATACAGCTAAAAGAATATCTTTACAGCTAATTTTAAACGTTTTCTGTTTGCAATTTTAAAAAAATACAAGAATTGATAAGGATTAAATTATAAATTATAAGCATAGATAATAGAATTTACCTTTGTTAGATATAAAACAGGAAATTATCAATAAAAAAGTTATCATTTGCCAATTCTAGAATAAAATAAAATAATTTTTGAGTTTTCAATCCAAAACTTTATTTAAAATGTATTACTCACCTCCATTATTACTCTAAGTGTTTATATTAATAATTATATGTTATTATTACTCCGAATAACTAATGAACGTTTTTCGGTTAAATTAGTGTATATATATAAACAATCACCAACATAATTTATTATTATTATTAATAAATTTTAAAAGAGCATCTTAAGTAAATAATAAAGAATACATTTAAAAATATTAAAATAAACTATTAGCTCTTTTCAAATAAAAATTGTCTGTATGTAGGGTATGTGGCGTGAATAGATACAGCTCGTACTGATGTATTTTTATAATGTATACTTTGCGCGCACTGCATATCCATTTTATGAATTATATTAACATTTTTTATCAAAATTTTCGTAAGTAAAGAACTAAAAAATGGCTGTTTTCAAATTTTTAAAAACATTAAAAATAAAGAACTTTTTTATTATTTTTTATTAAAGATATATATTACAAATACGCTTTTAACAATATCCATAACTCTTAAAATTATTTTTAAACAAAGTAACGTAAGATATTAACTGAATCAAAAGTTATTTAATTCAAAACGATTTTAAACCAATTCCAACCAAACCCAACGTGGACTACTCTGTTTAAGTTAGAAAGTCGTTAAAATCGTGTTTTCGAATGCGTATCAATTTTCAAGCTCTGTAGNATATATATATATATATAATAAAAAAAAAAATGTACTTCTTAACAATAATTTTTATTTGCTGACTTAGCTTCAGTCGACACTTTGCTATCATTTTTTAAAGTAGCGAGTAATTAAACTCAGTTCATTAATTAATCCAAGTAACTTAAGGGAACACGGGAAATCGCATGCATTTAAGGAAAAACTAAAACTATAAGCTTTAATTTATTTGTGCATATAAGTGCGCATGATTCCTCCAAATTAAATGAACAGTATTATCCCATATGACTTTTGAAAAAATAATGTTCTGCTTTAAACTTGACAGTATATTATACTAATCAAATTTATGTTTGTATTGAAGATAAGAACAGTGATGTAATTACAACAACATACTTAACCATCCTAATATTTTTCTTTGTACTTCAAATTACACGTATAATGATAAATTTATGTTTTTTATTTCACATTTATCAGAGATCGGATTAGAACATTTCTTTTTCGATTAACGTTTAAATATATTTCAACGTTATCTTATAATTAAGTTTAATGATATCCAACATTTTAACGTTTTTATTGTTTAAACGTTAATCAATTTTTTTTTGTTTAACGTTTAAACGTTACTACACTTTCACGTTTAATGTTAAAAGTACTCGAAATATAACTCACTGTAACAAGCATTTTTTTAATATGATCAAATGACTAATATTTTGTTATATAGAAATTTTTAAATAAAACGTTTGGAAAGAATTTATTTTTGTTTTATGTTATAAGTTTTATTATGTGTTAATAATATTTTACATTTATTGATATTACATATTTTTGGTTTTTTCATTTTTTGATTACGTTTTGATAAGATTTTTCGTTTTAAGCGTCATAATTATATAATTATTCATAACTTTAACTTGCCCTGACAATTATGTAAGCTAAATTTTGTATAATTATTTAATAATACCTTAGGAGTACTGTTGATTAGTTATTTTAAAAAAAAGTTTTTACTAACCAGGAACCATTTTTCCCCGTGGATAAGGGATAAGAATACTTCCACGGCCCCTTTGCCAGTCGTAAGAAGCAACTAATGAGACTGCGTCAGGTCGACAGCCGGCGTAAAATTTTTGTCAAATAGTATGAGGTGTCCTGAACAAAACTTAGGTGAATTGTCCCATCTCAGATGTACGCGGGGAGAGGGAATAATGTAGTTAAAACGGAGAAGGCCTAAAGAATAAAGTGTTTGATACCAGCCGGACAATTTGTGCGGTAGCTGTTCACCAGTTATGTGTACAGGTCTACCCAACGCTTGTAGTGTCAACGGTGTAGGGATATCACTCCTTAACTCTAGGCTGGACTCGTGTTTAAGGGAAAAAGATAGATACAAAGTAAGAATAGGTACTTGAAATGTTGGAACATTAACTGGTAGAAATTGAAGTATTGAAGAGGAGAAAAGTTAACATTTGTTGTGTGCAGGAAACTAAGTGGAACGGAGAGAAATCGAGGGAAATAGGTGAGGGTTATAAAATAATATACTCAGTTAAGTCTAGTACAAAGAATGGAGTAGGGATAATAATGGATGAGGAGATGAAAAGTAAAGTAATAGAAGTAGCTAGGAAAAGCGACAAAATTATAGTCGTAAAATTAATATTCGAGGAAAAATAATTATTTAGTTATCCTATTTTATTTTCCTATAACAAAATTAATCTACTTTGGCAAATAAGTTATATCAGTGAGAGCGCGTTTATTATTATTACTATAATTTAAACCAAATAAGTGTCAAATATTCAGTGGATACACTATTCAGAGGTTCTGCTATATAAAAGATATTAATAAGTCCCCGTACTCAAAATAACGTCCGCTATTGAAGAGTTTCCGTTAGAGAGATATCACGTTATGTATATATTTTTATAAAAAGTTTGCAAATATTAATACATGTCTTTAAATCCCAGGATATCATCTTGCCTTTATGCGTTAAATTTCCTCCCTTTCCCTTGTAATTATTTTTATTTATGATTGGGTTAGATTATATTAGCTATGATAATAAGCCCAATCCAACTACCATTACTAGTATGAATTGCTTATGCTTCAATTGTATTAATAAATTGTATTTTTTCATAATTTGAAATTATTGAAACTTACTTTAAAATTATAGGTTTTTTACAAAAACATTTTTTGTTTGATGAACTAATTATAAATTTATGATTACTGATTATACAATGATTTGAAATACTATTATTACAATAATATTATAATATTACATTTTGAGACATGAAATTTATACATGTAGATATGTTGTGGCTAAATATTCAACATTAATTATGAATATGTGTACTTTATCAGCTAATTAAAAGCTTAAATAAAATCAAAATCATTTCTCAGCTTTCACCGTACCGATTTCTTTCAACGATAAGACAAAAGATCAAAAGTCGTATCTAGTTAAAGACTAAAAATTGAAAAAATTTTCCTCGTTCCCTATAAATGGAGCAAATCTCCCTAAAAATTAAAATTTTTAAAAATAGTAAATTTCAACATTTTTTAAACTTTTTTTTTTTCTTAAAACTGCTATAACTTTTTAAAAAATAAACAAATTAATTATTTTTTATTAAAATCTTGGGTATTTTCCTTTTATTTAATATACATTTTTCGAAAATCTGACACATTACTTGCCCTCAGGTGGGAATTCAAAATAGCAAATTCTGTACAAAAATTTAACTTTAAAAAATGTTTCGGAAATACAAGGTCCTTTAAATATATATTAAATTAAAACTGTTCAGTATGTTACATACTATAAGTTAAAAAAAAAACTATTGTGATTATTACTGTAGTTAGTTAATAGTTAGTTATTACAGATTATTTTACTTTAAATAGCTGTTTTGTCACAACTAATGAATTTTTTTAGTTATTACATTAAGTTTTTACGAATGCATTTTTTATACACTTTTCTCGGAATAGTTTAAAATTTTCACATGAATAATATTTACTTAATATGATGACTAACACGCAATAATTTATAGACTACTCTACATGATGAGTGGTGTATGTATTATAACAGATGGGTTGATAATAGTTTTGTACAGGTCTTATCAAGTAATAAGCATTTTAATACATGGAGTGGGTATTGAACATGAGCAGAGTATATGTGCTCCATTACAAGGTACATTCGTTATTATTACATATTCACTTAATGTATTAAAGTGTTTGTCACTTGATAAATATTTGTTCTAAAATAGTTGTCCAATCATCAATTTTTTTTTAATATAAGTGCTAAGAAGTAGCTATTTTAAAAATTAAAACAAATAAATTTTTTTTTCATATTAGTGATAAATAATAAAAAAAATGTTATGTTTTTAACTATTTCAAACCTAACATTTTCCGATGAATCACAAAATTATTTTTTTGTGAAACTCTTATTTATGCGGTATGAATACCATTTATACAAATTTTCATAATTTTAGAGCGGTTATTCACGAAAATATAACGTGGGTAGTTAAATTTTTTTGAAAAAAAAAAATATTTTATGTATAAACAATAAAATTAATAATTTCTTTAAGATAGATGAGAAGGCGAAAAAGTTTGGGTTGGAATTACTATCATTTTTTCTATGTCTGTCACCATATTTTCTCAGCTCTCACCAAACCGAAAATTGCAAATAGTGCCAGATAAAAGATATCCTCAAAAATATAAAAAATTTCTCAAATAAAAAGTTGCTTAACCAAATTTATCGATATAGACAATTAAAATCATTAATTTTTTATATTTTTAAGTTATATATTGTCAAATTGAATTTGATATGATAGTAAGTTTCAACTACAAAGTTGAATAATTCTACTTTGTTATTTATTAATTTCTATCTCTATTTGTGTGTTCTACTACCATTATATAGGGTGTTCAATATGTAAGGAAACGGGTATCTATTATTTTCATTATTTGTATAATTTACCTTCCTCCTTACTTACTGTATAATAATGTAAATTTTTTAGTAACATATAAATTATTTCTAAAAAAATGATTTTGGATTTCACATGTTTCAATAATGGATTTTTACAATTATAATCAATTTTATATTATGCTCAATTGAGTATATTTATTAACAAATTTTTATTTGGTTTTTTTAGTTTTGTACCAAAACTAAGAAGATATTAGTCCTGTGATGCTGTTCATTTTTTTTATATCTGTCCATAAAAATTCTTTTTTGATTAAGGACATAAGAGTATTTTTAAAATGTTTATTTAAAAATGCTCTTAGCGTGCAAACATCTATTGCCATAAACTAGAATAATATTTTTATTATTAATATCTATTACATTTTAGTAAACTTAGAGGAAAGCATTTTATTAGATGACACTCAAATAAAAGACAATTAAGTCATATATATGTTGTGATACTACTTTTGAAAAAGTCTTGCGTAGACCATTGCACCTGGAAAACTCAATAGGTTGAGAGTATC